GCCTGGCTGGTTGCTGTCTAGAATTCTCCTGTTTTTTGAGTGTGACTTTTTATTTATTGTCCTGATTTAAGATTTTTTTTAAAAAATACTGGTAGACAGATGTTGTTCATTTTCATTGTTTTCTCCTTTCTCCCACCCTGGTCATTCCACAGATATATAAACCTCAGTTATCCAGTTTTCAACAGACCTCACAATCTCTGAAGATGCCTGCCATAGATATGGGAAAAAATCAGGAGAGAATGTTTCTGGAACATAGCCATACAGCCCAGAAAACTCACAGCAGCCCAGTGATTCCGGCCATGGAAGACTTCGACAACACATTGTTCCATGAAACTTGTTAGAACTGAATTGGTTTCTAAAAAAAGATAAAAGTGTATTTGGTACACCAAATATCTGGAAAGCCAAGCCAAATAAGACCATTATACCAATAAAAAAGAAAAAAAAGAAAGCAGCCATTGATAAGCAGCAGCTTATGATGCTTCTCTTATCTATACTTGATAATAGTATGTCAAGGACAGAGGAGGCAAAAGTAGTACTAGTAGGATATCAGGCAATTTGCAAGAATTTCCAATACTTAATACTTTAAGAATGAAAGCAATCTGTCTCCAAAAAACTAAGCCATTAAAATAAAGAAAAGCTCATGGAGAAAATGCAGTATGTTTTTTACAAAAGGATCTGTGAGCAAATTTCCTTTTTGGTGCTGAAAAGAAACTCTTGGGCTGAGTATGGGCTTTAAGGATTCTTCCCCTGACTTCTATGTCAACTTCCTGAATGACTCAATTTATACCAGGCTCTGGTTGTTGGCCTACAAAGTTCTAAAAAACAAACAAACCAACAACCCCAAAGTAAACCCACAAGCCTGAAGTCTGTCCATCGCTAAGTTCGAAGAGGCTTCTATCGTCTCCATTTGTTTTGCTAAATGTGTCCTACAGGCCCATATCATATGTTGGGTTCTTCTTGGTCCTGCTTTCTGCTTGTGGCAAGCTATAACAGCAGCTGTGCCTATTTCATGCCAAGAGAACCCAAATTCTGTGAACAGGATTATGAAAATGAAGCCAATCTGCATGTATCTACATTTTGCATAATGCACCCTGCTTCCAAGATTTGAGGATTTCAAAGCCTTTAGATGGGGTGGGCAAAGGCTGAGATGGCATTGGGAAATGGGGGAAAAGAGAGGAGTTCCAAGGGTTGGATTTACTGCTCAACAAGGTCAGGATGAGATGCAACGTAAGAGCTATGTGGGTTAAATCAATGCCTTCCTCCCTGAGCACTGGATGTTCTTGGCCAGAGTTCGTCGGGTTTCTAAACCACAAGGCTTTTCAGATCATTAATTTATAGCATAAAAAGTGAACAGTTGGTTGCTCATCTGTTGGATGGGATCTTCACATCAGTCTCTCTGGTTAGCAGTAGCTTGTTTTCCAGGATTCAATATACATGAAAATTAGAAAATATAAGTTGGAAGAAATTGAATTGCTTTGAAAAATATGTTGGTTACCTTACAAATGATCATTTCATGTCACTTTTTTTTAAAAAAAACCCAATCTACTATAATGGGCATTTTTATTTATTGTGTACTGAATTACATGTTTAGAATTGTATGCCAGCAGTCAATGATTTTTTTTTCTGTGTCAGGAGCGACTTGAGAAACTGCAAGTTGCTACTGATGTGAGAGAATTGGCAGTTGTCAGGGCATTGCCCAGGGGACAACTAGATGTTTTAGAGCAGTTCAGTACTCAGTAATGTTAAGTAGTAATTACTGTATTTACAAATTTAGCACCAAAACAGACAAGGGTTCTTTCTTTCTCCCACCCTGGACTGTGTTGGATAATATACAATGTTGGATGAGCGAAGGCTGGATAAGCGAGACTCTACTGTAATGTGTGTTTTATGCAATGTGTTGATTTATTGTTTATATGTTGGGTTATGGGATGATGGTTTTTTTGAATTATGTAGTTGTTTTTCTATTTTGTTTGCCACTTTGAGTCCCATTTATAGGATACAAATAAGTAAATAAATAAATAATGTGTTGTCGAAAACTTTCATGGCAAGAATCAATGGGTTGCTGTCAGTTTTCCAGGCTGTAAGGCAAGAATGCTTCTGGAACATGGCCATACAGCCTGGAAAACTCACAGCAACCCACAAGTACTTAATGCATCAGGTTTGAAACCATGGCAATGTGAAACGGCCTTTGCATTTCTTGCAGATATTCAGATGCAGCATCCTTATTGGGATGAATTTCAATATCCGCCATAATTTTTTCAGCCTTAATTCCTTTGTGAGTTGTACGGGGGCCTTCACCACACCCAGTACTTAGCACAATTATGGAAGACTAGAGTCCCAAGAGCTAAAATATGGAGCCACTTCATTACAGTATTTATAAATATGAAATTCAAATGAAATAATTCATGACAATATCAAACCAATGCTGCCTACCCTGCCAAGTCAGCACTATGCATATAGTGATTAGAACAAGTCGATTTGGGAACTAAGAAGCTGTTCTAATTTGTTTCTAATGACAAGTTTTGTATCATGTTGGAAGCCAGAATGGCTTAGCTGCTTGGTAATAAAGTTCTTGCGCTTCACAGATGGACTTGCAGCAAGGTCTGGTCAGTATAGTTAGTGTAATTCAGACTTTTTTTAAAAAGAAAAGAATTGGGAGCTCAAATACAAAGCCGGTATAACAACCATAAATCATAAGAGCATTCATTTGAGGAGAAAGTATTGTGTGCTATAAATTCAAGATTTTTTTTCAGAAGTGAAATGTGAGAAGATTGCACAAGTTCTTAATTTTTCAAATATCAATTTAGCAGAAAGGCTTTGAGAAATATTCTTACCATGCTTCAGATGTAGGCAGCTGTCATTCGTGGGGCTGCACCTGTAGAAGATTGTTTTTCTTTAACAATTTTCCATTAAATTATGTTTTTTTACATCCCAAATAAAAGATCTTATGCTAGAATGTGAATTGCCAATTGATTTCCTCTTGACTTTCATGGTTCTTATACCAGCTATTTTATTTATTACATATCTGCATTTTTGTTACAACAAAAGAAGATGTGAAATGACCTCACTGGCATTTTAACTTGACATACCAGGCAGCTGTTAAGACCATTTCCAATTTTTTTAAAAAGTCATAGCCAAGGGACATAGGATTGAATAATTTCCCAACATCTTCAAATGCAATAATCTGAAGGATATATTCACAATGAATCAATATGTTAAATCTTTGTTGTTAAGTGTTTCATAGAGAGAGCATTTTCTATGTTTCTAGATTTCCACCCATTAGGCCTTCCAATGTGTTGTTCAATAATGCTTAAAGACTATCTTTAATAACATAATAATATGTTTTTAAAGATAGCCTTTACAATGAAAATTGAAATGAATCACCATTCTTAGCTGCTTCGAACTTGCAAGTTCTTCTTGAAGACACACAGTTGGACAAACACGGGACTCATCAATTCAGCTTTCAACGAAAGCAGCACCGTATCTTTATTTACAAAATATGTACACTACAATCTCCGGTCATGTCCGTTCACATCTCAGCTCTCTGCACGAAGTACATTTCTGCTTTTCCGGTTTGCACAGGAAACTCCAAAAATGGCACTCTACCAATTCTACACATCTCTATTATTTTAATACATGCACTTCTGAAACCATACAATTTAAACTATAAGCAGTTTTCATACCCAAAACCATTACATATTCCGACAGAATTTCAGTATTTTATTGTACAACATTTTAGAAGGCCTGATGAGCAGGAAAACAGTGAATAATTTTAAATAAAATATGAAACCAAATTCATAGCAGGTGCAAGACAGAGACCTACTTCCTGCTACTTCCTGAAGCTATATCGGATACAGAAGGAAACGGCCAAGGTGCTGGAATTGGTTAATTGATGCTGATTAATAATAAATAATCATAAACTTTAGTTGTACCCCACCAACATCTCCCCGAAAGGCTCACAAAAAGCACACAATAGTGCAGAACACACAAAGTACAAGATCCATAACAAATAAAATAATAACAAAATAAGTTCACAAAACAAAAAATAACATTATTTATTTATTTATTTATTTACTTTATTTGTATACCGCTCTTCTCAGCCCTTAGGCGACTCAGAGCGGTCAATTCAACCCTACTGATTAAAATTCAACAATGCAGAAAGCTGCGGGTATAACAGGCTGTGAACTGTCCTAGTCCATAAAGTGCTAGCAGAATCAATCACTGAGGCCTCGATATTAGTGAGTTAAGGTTCTAATCATAGTCCAAAGGCTTGTTAAAAAAAACATGTTTTCAGTTGTGTCCGGAAATCTTGAAGAGAGGAGGCTAACCTGATCTCCTTCGGGAGCGTGTTACAAAGCTGGGGGGGGGGGGGCACCACTGAAAAGGTCCTCTCTCTCTCATTCCCACCAACCATGTTTGAGACGGAGGTGGGACTGTGAGGAGGYCCTCTCCAGCAGATCTTAAAGTTCGCAATGGTTCATAAAAGGAAATGCAGTCTCAAAGATGTTTCAATGCATATGTGAAGCAATGGAAATCATTCCGGTTCTGTGAAACAATATTCAACTGCAGTGGCCTCTAGAAGATAGTTTCTACACTATGCAAAGACTGGTTGTCTCCAGAAAATACTCCTTTTGTCATTGTCAATATAACTTTGCCAAACAACAATTGATCACTGCTATAAGCAAGACTGCTGTTGGTAGTCTCCAATTGTTCAGCTTGGCCTGACTTCCAAAAGACTGGGGATTTTTCTCTAATTTCAAGATGCAGAAGCAAACAGGATAGAGTTTAAGATCATGAGTTTTCTAAGAATATGGCTCTCAATGCTCAATACTCCTCTGCGCAGTTGACAAGGCAATGAAGACCACCAGTTTAAAAATGTTAAGATTTGTTATCACCCATTATACTGTAGAAGTCTTTGTGTGAAGAATCTATAAACAAGCAATGACACAATGAGCTGAGTTTTTCAAATGCTACAAGTGTTAAAACAAGATGAAACATACCTGATGTCGACTCTTGTAACTTTTCTCTCTTCCTCTTCTTTTTCTTTCCCTATAGAGTAAAAGAAAAGGGGAAAAGATTCATGGAAAAGGGATTTAGAGCAGCACATGAATACTTTTCTTCTAAATAACTTTATAGCATTTGTGGAAACATAATAACACCACAAAAGCCATTTTGAACCATCTCCAGATGGCTTAACGACCACGTTTAAGCTGCTCTGAGCAGAGAAAATAAATTTCACCTTTACATAATTTTAAAAATAATTTTAATAATTTTTTTCCCCAATATTCAGTTAAAAAACATATTCTTTCCAATATTCAGTTTAAAAGAAGTCAAAACAATGTAACTTAAAATCAGGGCCAGTAGCTGAATTCAAACTTTAGCAGCATTTCTAGTTGAAATTCTAACCAGTTATTTCGAAGCATTGCATATAAAATAAGTTGATATTTCATTTCAACACGTTTCAGAAAACAAAAAAAGGGAGGGGGGGGGAATAAGGACTGAATATAGAGCTAAATCTCATTGTTAGTCCCAATGAGAGTAAGCTCAATTAATTAATGGAAAATACATAAGCAGCAACCTACCAATTTTTTTTATGTCAGGAAAGACTTGAGAAACAGCAAGTTGCTTCTGGTGTGCGAGAATTGGTCATCTGTAAGGATGTTGCCCAGGGGACACCTGGATGTTTTACCATCCTTGGGAGGTGTCTCTCATGTCTCCACATGCGAAGCTGGAGCTAACAGATGGGAGCTTACCCCACTCCCCAGATTTGAACCATCGACCTTTCTGTCAGCAATCTTGCTGCCACAAGGGTTTAACCCATTGTGCCACTGGGGCTCCTAACTTCTATTGACTTTCTATTGATTTGTTGAGTATTCTAATGGAGGGTAGCAATTGAATTCACCCATCATAATTATTATCAACGAGCTAAAATAATATTTTGAGTTATGATACAAGTTCTTGACAGGAGTAATTTAAAATGCTTCCAACTTAAAATTAAACAGCAACATCTGTTCTCCAAAGCCACAAAAAAGTGGAAGATCTTGAACCTCACACTTAAAAAGAAAACTGGCTTCAGAGATATTATAATAAAATAGCCAGATCTGGTGAGACCTGGGTTCAAGTCCTCATGAAACCATAAATGCTGAAAGGACTGGTCACTATTTCTCAGCTCGATCCACATCATTCATTCTTTTTTACAGATAAAATGGGAAGAGGAAGAACCATTTATATTTCCCCGATATTTACTATGCTGTGTGCTTCTATCTCTTTCAGTCCCATTACACCACAATTCATTAAGACAGAACAAGAGTTTCACAAGTTCTGAAGTTAAAGACACATAGATGTTTTCATTGGATTAAGGCAGGTTCTAGGTAAAGGAGCTTCTCTTTATTCTAAAGCTCACTGGCATTTTAAATGGAGTCTGACTTGGGGGCAATTCTACTTATCTGGCTTAAACAAGGCGTATTGGATTATGGACAAAGCTTAGTACTGATTGAAATCTCCTTGAATGCGTGAGAGACCACATTTTCAAAGTCAGGACTAGGTATGGGATTAGGTTTCCCTTTGAATTCTTTATTTAAGAGTAATCAAGGCCCAATCTTAGCTAACTCCCAGACAAATAGTTATTTGGCTGTCTTCAGTGTGGATTAAAAAAAACAATGAAAAGAAAGAGGTATTTTAGAAGATAAATGGCAAGTGTGTTGTTTAATCCCAATGGAATCTCCATTAGATTTTGCTACGTGCATCAAAACCATAGTACAATCCTCCATCAAATTAAATTAAACATTTTTAAAGGAATACATTCTTAAATATTTCTGATTTAAACAAAGGAATTGCAGCTGAAGATAGCTGTTACTTGAGTCCCTGTATTGGGAGAAAGGCCATTTAACAAATTTGTGTGTGTGTGTGTGTCAGGAGCAACTTTAGAAATTGCACGTCGCTTCTGGTGTGAGAGAATTGGCCTTCTGCAAGAACATTCCTAAGGGACACCTGGATGTTTTGATGTTTTACCATCCTTGTGGGAGGCTTCTCTCATGTCCCCGCATGGGGAGCTGGAGCTGAGAGAGGGAACTCAACCTGCTCTCTCCAGATTTGAACCGGCACAAGGGTTTAACCCATTGCACCATCGAGGGCTCCTAAGTTAACAATTTACACACACACACACACACACACACACACACACACACACCGTATTTTCCGGAGTATAAGATGACTGGGCATATAAAATGACCCCCAACTTTTCCAGTTAAAGTATAGTGTTTGGGATATACTCGCCGTATAAGACTACCCCTCATTCAACGCACACCAAGTAATTTTTTTTAAAATCAGATTTGATAAACTATATTAGAAAGTGATGCCATTTCCTTTGCAGAAGGGCTTTAAGCATTGGGTAGCCATTTCCCAGGGTTGCTTTAGCCCTGACAGAAAGACCTCCCTACAATACTATAAATCTAGTGCCTGGCATAAAAGGCATACACCTAACAAGGCTCATTGCAAGACCTTTTTCACTCGCATCTATTTAAACAAGAAAGCTTTACAAGCCACTTTCTCTGCATATCTTTTTCTTGATGGAAAACTCAATCAACTCCTTTTTAGTCCAAACTGGACCAAAAGGTATTCAGTTTTCATTCTTGAATTTTGAATGCATAAAGTAGAGACCAAAGGGACCCCGCTGATGTTGCTGCTGCACCCCTCCGGCACTGCTTGGCTTCCCAGGCTCCCGCTGCCGGGCTTCAGCCTCCCCAAAGGGCTCCTCAGCTCCATGCCCACCTTGGCTGACAGTGCGGCAGCGGACGACGAAGGGAAGGAGGAGGAGAAGCCGCCTCCTCCACCTCCTTCTCCCCCTGTCCCACGAAGGGAGGGAGTGAAAGAGAGAGAAGGAGGGAGATCCAAGCCACACAGGCTCCTCTTCCTCCTCTTGTTACCCTCAGAAGGGAGAGGGAGATCCAAGAAGCAGCACAGCCTCCTCTCCAAGGCAGAACAGCCCTGCAAAGGGACAGAGAGAGATCCAAAGGTGGCACAGTCTCCTCTTCCTCCTCCTTTCACCTGCCCTATAAGATGATCCCCAACTTTTGGGAAGATTTTACTGGGTTAAAAAGTCATCTTATACGCTGGAAAATACAGTATATGAAATTTTACAAAGAAAAAAAAAATCCCAGAATTAACATACAAATCCGTTCACACAACCCAGATTTGTTCAAAAACAGTCTACCAAACCTTCTTCAGAATCATTGCCATATGCATCTGTTAACCATGTAATATGTCAAAGGCAGACATTTGTGAGTCACTACCCCAGATGTTTCCAAAGCAATGTTCAGCTATTTTAATGGCCATTTTATTTATTTGTCATATGGCACAGCTGGTTGAGAAACATTCATGGGGCCAATTCCAAACCAGTTTGGGATATGTGGAAGTTATCTAAAATGAGGCCCAAACTGGGTTGCTTTCCTGTGCCAGCTGCTCCCTCACCTCTTTGGGTTTTAATTGCAGAAAACGTTAGCTGAAGAAAATGTAAATGAGGGGCTTACGTAGTTATCTCTTGCAGACCAGCCTGGATAGAGCTGCATGTGTAGCTGCCTTTCTTTCCGAGCTAGTTCATAATATTTAGCTTGTTCTTCACGGGACAACGCATGCCACTGCAAATAAAGGAAGAAAGAGTGAATTTTGGGCCCTGCTAACAGAATGTGCTACACACAGAAGTACCTAAAGGATAATGTTAATTTGTGTTATTCTGGCATATGGAGAGAGAGAAAAACACAGTAATCGCTTACACAGCACCTATGACAAGCCAAGAAAGTAGCAGCATCTAGACAGAACATTATAATAAAACTGTGCATTTGGTTTTATGACCTCAGTGTTGAATTTTGCATTTATCTCTATTGACATTTGATCCATTCATATTTATAGTAAAGGTAAAGGTTTCCCCTGATATTAAGTCTAATTATGTCCGACCCTGGGGGGGGGGGG